AAGTTTAAAAAATTGGCGATATTCATAATTTAATTTTGTACGATGGATCTAGGCTATTTTCCTAATTAAAACCTCCATATTTGCCAAGATTCTCCATCCTAAACTATTGTTTAACAGAGCATGGTAAAATTAAAATTGAAATACCCCCCAAAAAAACCTTTTGGAAAAAAATCAAAACGCTAAGAAATTGTATAATTTTAAAATTTTACGCGCTTTCCAGGCGGCTTTCTCCTTCAAAATCTCAACATTTAGCCAGATTCTCCGACCTCTACATTAGATAAATTAACAAGGTTTAAAATGTTCTTTAAATCCGAAAGAAAACGCATTATGAAATGTTAAAAACACCAAGAAAGCTCATGAATTCAGGTTGTTTACAGCTCGTGACCTTTTTACACGATGTCCTCCATCGACATCTTCAAAATTGGCCAAAAACTCCGTGTTTTACGGTTGTTCAATAATGCAGGGATGAAATATCCTTTAAATACTGGGAAGAAACCTAGTAGGAAAAGTTCTGATCGCCACGAAATTGCTTAAATTTAAAGTCAATACGGTTTACCGCCCATTCTAGGCTGTTAGCTCCGTTAAAATCTCATAATTTCAACTTGATTCGCCTCTTTCTATTTTTGTTCGATGGATTCAATTCAACTTGATTTAAAGTACCACTGGAAATCCGGTTTGAAAAGCTCACACTGCCCTGGAATGCAGAGATTCGTGATTTTTACAGTTTATGGTCTTTCTAGGCTGTCCTCTGTAGGAAAATCTTCAAATTATGGAAGATTATCCTTCCTTTTTTTTCCCCAATAGAGCAGGGTTCAATTTGACTTAAAGTACAAAAGAAATGCTGGTTTGAAACGCTGAAAACCGCCCAGAGCTTAGATTTATACATTTGATGGCCTTCCTACCCTGTTTTCCCCGTCAAAGTTACCAAATCTGGTCACATTCTTTATACTCAACAATTGGTCAATAAAGCAGGGTTCAATTTGGCCTAAAATAGCAAAGATAAGCAAGTTGAAAAAGCTAAAACACCAGGAAAACTCCTCGGGGATTGAGGATTTTTATAATTTACGGCTATTTTGGGCTTTTCCTCCAACAATATCTCCAAATTTTCGCCAGATTTACCTTTTTCTTTGATTTCTCAATAAAGCTATATTCAATTTGACTTAAAATACCGATGAAAACCCGATTGGAAAAGCTCAAACGTTTAGAAAGTGTCTAGATTGAGCTCTTTACTGTTTATGGCCTATCTAGACTATTTTTTCCAATAAAACCACCACATTTGGCTGGCTTCTCCATCCCCTAGGATTGTTTAATTAAGCAGGTTTGAAGTTAGCTTAAAATAACAAATAAAACCCAGTTGAAAAAGCTCAAAACCCCAAGAAATCGCATAAATTTAAAATTCATAAGGTTTATCGCCCAGTCTAGCCGGTTTTCGCCGTCGAAATTCCAATATATGACCAGATCCTTCGTCTTCTAAGATAGTTTAGTAAAACAGGGTTAAAATATGTTTTGGGTACAGGAGAAAAATCAGTTAGAAAGCTAAAAACACCAAGAAAGCTCAGGTTTTTTTTTACAGTTTGTGGCCTTGCTGGGCCGTTTCCTTAATCTAAATCTCCAAATTTGGCCAGATTCTCCAGCCTGTCCTTTTGTTCAATGAAGCAGTTCAATTTGGCTTAAAATCCTCGTGAAAGCCGAGGTGGAAAAGCTCAAACCGCCAGAAAGTGGAGAGATTGAAGATTTTTACGGTTTACGCATTTTGTAGGTAGTTTCCTTCATCGAATTCTCAAAATTTGGCCAGATTATCCAGCCTGTTCTTTTGTTCGATGAAGCTGGTTCAATTTGGCTCAAATTCCTCATGAAAACAAAGTTGGAAAAGCTCAAACCGCCCAGAAAGTGGAGAGATTGAAGATTTTTACGGTTTACGCATTTTCTAGGTTGTTTCTTTAATCTAAATCTCAAAATTTGGCCAGATTATGCAGCCTGTTCTTTTGTTCAATGAAGCTGGTTCAATTTGGCTCAAATTCCTCTTGAAAACAAAGTTGGAAAAAGCTCAAACCGCCCAGAAAGTGGAGAGATTGAAGATTTTTTAAAGAATTTTTTAAGGTGTTTTATTCATCAAAATATCCAAATTTGCCTAAATTCTCCATCCTGTACTTTTGTTTAATAAAGCAGGATTCAGTTTGGCTTAAAATATCAAAGAAAACCCTTTGAAAAAAAGGCGAAAAACCTCTTGGAAACTCTGGAAATCTTCCTCCTTATACTCAAAAAATGTCATTTTTGACCCGGACCGCGTTTTTCACCCCTGGATAAGGCCCATATTTTTATTTTTTTGTTAAACTGTATAATCAAATTTTGGATAGCACCTCCTTCATCCCCCTGCGCAGGTGTTATTTCGTTAATTGGTCGTTACCTTCAGATTTATCGCCCCGTCGCACATGTCAATATCGATTACTTTTTTGTATATTTTTATGTTTATTTAATATGTTACTTTTTATATGTATAAAAAAACGAAAATCCTCCCTTGGAGCCAATTAAGAAAGCCACCCCGTTGAGGCGGTTGTTTGCACCCCCTCCAATCCTACCCCGGATTCTGTTTGACATAGCCGTGATCTCCCGGCGTAAATATTGGCCCCGTGGCACCCTGTATATCTCGGTAAACCCAGGATGTTGAAACCACGGCCGGATGGGCCGGAAAATCGCCTCGTTGCTATTGAACCTCTTCTTCCCCCCCTGAGAACAAGCAACCCTTAATAGAAAACGACGAATAAGATTCTGGGTCCTCTTAGTCTCGCCCTTCGGTCACGTTGTTGTTCCCAGCCCGGAGTTGTTGTTTTTCCCCCGTGTCCAGGGCCGGCGCGTGAGAATAGAATCGAAATTACAGGGTACCGCGCGCTTGGTTCTGTACCGGCAATCCCAGGTTCAAGGACTCGCTCTTCCTTTCTCTACGCCGGCCCAAGGATCCAGGAAAGGCAGTGGCCGTACAACTCAGTTTACATCCCAACCCTTTTCTTCTTTAATTGATCCCCAGCAGATGGGAATCGCAACAAACCCATTCCATCTTTAGAAAAAAAAACCTTGGAAACAACTGATAACCAAGTTTTACTCCTTTAATATCAACTCTTTTTCCCTCTGTTTTTCTTTCTTTTAATTTTTCACCCGGACTACTTGAAATTGGTACCGCCGCGGCCTCCCGGACCCCATCCAGAGATCAATTGTAAATAATTAATTAATAAAACCGGTCCGAGTCTTCTTCCTTATTCCCCAGGAGCCGGGACGTGAATTTTTATTCGCCTCTTATTTTTAAAAGAGAGCCCTTGTAAAAGTTTCAAACCGAGGGGTGGTTTAATTTTAATCGGAGGCCCGGACCCCTCCCTTTTCGTGTCTCAGACGCGGTTAACTATTCAACAAAGGGGAATGATCATCCGGACTTGAAGAATGAAATGTGGTTCACGAGAGAGCTGTGCGATAGAAGTGATAACTGTGCATTTAAGAGAGAGGGCGATAAAGAGTGGCGGAGGCGGGGAAGACATATGCCTGGGAAGGTTGGAGTGATATTGGGAAGAAAGGACGGATAAAACTATAAAAAGATAGTTGGGAGGATGGCTAGTAATATGTACAGATAGAATGGTTGGATAATGGATGTATAGTATGATGGATCATGATTGGATTCATGGATGGAAGAAGTTTAGATGAATGTATGAATGATAGTACGAATGGATGGGTAAGATTCATGGAAGGATGAATGAATAGAAGGACAAATAGATAAGAGGAGATGGAATGGATATCTATTCACACCAAATCTTATGTTAGAATGATAGGTGAATAGATGTTGGCTTAATGATTGTTGAATGCATAGAAGAAAGGATATAGGAATGGATTGCACGATTAATCGATGGATGGGTTGGTAGTGTGATGAATGGAAGAAAGGATAGGACAATAGTAGGATGGATGGAGGGACGTACGTTTTGACGTATGTATGGACAAATTATTGAATGGAAGCTGCATCCATGGATTGAGAGATGGATGGATGGAAGGAACGAATGTAGAAAGACGGTTGGAGTAACATGGACGGATGGATGGAGGGGCGTACGTTTGGACGTATGTATGGCCAAATTATTGAACGGAAGGCTTGCTGCGTTCAAGGATTGAGAGATGGATGGATGAAAGGAACGAATGTAGAAAGAAGGTAGGTACTAATATGGAAGGAAGGATGGTTGGCTGGATGGAGGGACGTACGGTTAGATTTGTGGAGGGACATACGTTTGGATTTATTTATGGTCAAATTATTGAACGGAAGGCTTGTTGTGTTGCATCCATGGATTGAGAGATGGATGGGTGAAAGGATGGTTGGTGGTATAATGGATGGATGGATGGTAGGATGAAAGGAGGGACGTAAGTTTGGACGTTATGTATGGACAAATTATTGAATGGAAGCTGCATCCATCGATTGAGAGATGAATGGATGAAAGGAACGAATGTAGAAAGATGGTTGGTAGTAACACGGATGGTTGGATGGATGGAGGGGCGTACGTTTGGACGTATGTATGGACAAATTATTGAATGGAAGGCTTGCTGCATTCATGGATTGAGAGATGGATGGATGAAAGGATGGTTGGTGGCATAATGGATGGATGGATGGATGGTAGGTTGGGAGGAGAGACGTACGTTTGGACGTTATGTATGGACAAATTATTGAAGAAGCTGCATCCATGGATTGAGAGATGGATGGGTGAAAGGAACGAATGTGGAAAGATGGTTGGTAGTAACATGGATGGTTGGATGGTAGGATGGAAGGAAAAATAGTTACCGACATGTCAAATCTTTAAACAGGTTGTTTAATGGAGGGTGGAAAGTTGAGAAAGGTCATACCAGATAACTGGGAAAGAGTGTCTAAGGTGTGCGGGTATTTTTACCGTGTTTCGGTCTTTTTTCATAACTCAACCATTTATCAAATGTTTTTCTATATTATTTTGATTGTAATAATTTTTTTCCTTTTTTGCCAGGTAAGATCTGAAATGGTGGAACCAATTGGAAAACGATGGGTGAGTCTGTGTCAATTGGTCTTTTATGTTTTATTCTTATCTTTGAGATATTAAGTTTTAAGCTGAATTTGTTTCTTATCACCTATACGATTTTTTTAAATATTTTCCCCCTCGGTCATGAGATTGTGTTAAGTTAAAAGTTATGAAAATGTGCGTTCCCTGGGCTGGATCCTTCTTCTGCTCTTTAATTGGCGATTACGCGGCGAGACGAGGCGGAACGCGTATCTGACGCAGGATCTCCACCCGAGGAGGAAGGCCAACGTCCTGGCCGGACGAGAGCCCGAAGAGGATCCGCTTAAAAAAATGCTACGACGATGAACCAAGTTTTAGAGACGATAAAAACAAACCTGTCCACAAAGGCAAACAATATCAGAGATGTAGAAACAAATCAAGCAAACCAACCGATCTCAAATTTGGAGAAATGATCCATAAGCGGAAGTCATAATCTCAGAGATGGAAAGGATTCATAAACAAGGGAACCAAATCTCAGACATTCATAAGCCAAGGATACACATTTTCAGCTAAAGGAAAATATATATCAAGCAATCTCAGAGATATATAAAAATATATTAAGGTAACAAATCAATCTCAAATGGAAAATAAAACTATAAAGTGGATGAAACAATATCAGACATGCAGAGAAACATCCACAAGCCTTTGGACCAATCTCAGGGGTGGAGAAAAAGTTCATAAGCGAAGGAACCGATCTCTGAGAAGTAGAAACAAATCCAAAAGCCATTGAAATATTCTCAGATATGCAGGAAAAAGTTCGTAAGCCAAGGAACCAATCTTTAAGACGCAGAAAAAGTCCACTAGCTTTTGGAACAATCTCAGAGATGGAGGAAAAATTTCATAAGCCAAGGAACCTATCTCTGAGTTGCATAAAAAAAATCCGAAAGCGATTGAAACGATCTCAGAGATGGATAAAAAGTTTATAACCCAAGGAAGTGATCTCTGAGATGCAAAAAATCCAAAAGTTATTGAATCAACCTCTCAGATGGTGAAAAAAGTTCATAAGCCAAGGAACCAATCGGTGAGATGCAAAAAAAATCCGAAAGCTATTGAGACAATCTCAGAGGTGAATAAAAAGTTAGCAAGCCAAGGAACCTATCTCTGAGAGGCAGAAAAAAATCCGAAAGCCATTGAAACAATCTCAAAGGTGGATAAAAAGTTCATAACCCAAGGAAGTAATCTCTGAGGTGCAAATAAAATCCAAAAGTTATTGAAACAATCTCAGAATGGAGAAAAAAATCCCAAGCCTTTGAACCAATCTCAGAGGTGGGTAAAAAGTTCATAACCCAAGGAAGTAATCTCTGAGGTACAAATAAAATCCAAAAGTTATTGAAACAATCTCAGAGATGGAGAAAAAAAATTCACAAGCCTTTGAACCAATCTCTGAGATGCAGAAAAAAATTCAAAAGCCATTGAAACAATCTCAGAGGTGGGTAAAAAGTTCATAACCCAAGGAAGTAAGCTCTGTGATGCAGAAAAACATCCAAAAGCCAATGAAATAATCTCAGAGATGGAGAAAAAATTCACCAGCCTTTGAACAAATCAGAGATGGAGATAAAGTTCAGAAGAAAATATTCCAAACAAAGAAACCAATCTCATGGATGGGGAAATGACTACTCTTGCAGGCGCCGTGGATCAAATATTGATATCTCAGAGGCAAGAGATGTAAATAAAGAATTTGAATTCCAAAACAATAAAGAGTAGGAAAAGTTGGAAAAATCAAACAATGATTACAAAAGACAGTGAGAAATAAAATGGAATTTTTGATTTTTTTATTGTTTGAAAATTGGTCTTCTTTATGGGGTAGTTTGTAGGGTAAAAAAGAAATAAAACAAGAGAGAGGGATGTGGATGTAAATAATCAAACAGGTGAAATCATAAAAAAGAGGGTTGAAAAAGAATCATAAACACTGCCATCGTTCGGGGGATGGGGTGTAAAGACAAAACGAATTATGGCCGGAGGTATCGTGGTGTGGGGAGGTGATCCTAGGAGCCGTGGGTCCGCCGCGTTTCGCTCCGATCCGGCGGACAGGTGGCCGCTGCGGGGGGCGGTCGGAGAATAGGTGGGAGAGCCGGCTTGTTATTGATTGTACCCTGGACCCCCGACGTTAACCCCTCTTCAACAGCGCACCGTGTAACAGGCCGAGGCACCCCCGATCCCGAAATAATGAAGGGAATAATTCCCCAGTATAAACTGGGATTCGGTTTTGAAACGGCCCCAGGGCCCCTATTGACCTTTGCCCCTCCGCCCCCCGACTGCGGTTATTGGCCCATTGGCTCATTTGCATCGCCACCGTCCCAATCCTATAAACGTCCATGTACGTCTATTTTCCTATTTGAACCTTCATAACAGCTCCAATGGACGTCGATTATATTAACTGAACGCATAATCGTGTCAAATCGGAGCTTTTTGGTTAATCCAATAACACTCAACCCTTATAAACTCAATTTTCAATTCAAAACAATTGTCCCATTATCAAACAAATACTGTGATTAAAACCTTACAAAGTATATTTTAAAAACGTTTTACACTTTAAAGTAGGTTTTATTGGGGTTATCCGTAGTAAATCCGTTAAAATAAGTTCTACAGTGACCGTGCTATCTAAAAAGTACAGGTTTAAAAAAAGGTTTTACTGGGGGTATATAGAAATATTAGTACGTTTTTCTATGGTTATCTGGATTTGTATACTTGAAAATAGGTTATACGGTGGTTATCCTGAAAAAGATAGCAGCTTTTTTTTTTTAATTTTTTTTAAGCCAAGAAATAAGTTTCAAACGTGTTATTTGGAGTTTCAAAAAAAGTTTAAATTTAGTCTATAACAAGAAAGGTAATAGGTCAAGGTTATACAACGGTTATCCGCCAAAGAAATTACTTTTACGCAGGACCTGTTTGAAATGGAAAAGCTTTAAACTTTTTATTTGTTCTTTCAAAAAAGTTGTAAATTACTCGAAAAAACACGTGGAGGTTATACAACGGTTATTCTCCAAACAATAAATTTTAATTTGATCCGGTTCAAAACCGAAATTTTAAGGTTTAAACTGTATATCTTAGAGAGGTTGTTCGATTTCAAGTGGGTTTTACTAGGGTTATCAGGATTTCTATAATTTTAAAATAGGTTATACGGTTATCCTCAAAAAGATGGCAGCTTTTCGTTGGATTTGTTAGCCAAGATGGAAGTTTCAAACTGGTTATTTGGAGTTTCAAAAAACGTTGAAATTTAGTGTATGAAAAGAACGATAATTGGGGGAGTTTATACAACGATTATCCGCCAAATAAATTACCTTTACGTAGGACCTGTTTGAATTGGAAACTACAATCTTATGTAGGTTATACGGTGGTCATCTCCAACAAAGTTTCTGGTAGCTTTTTTTGGATTTGTCAGTGAAGAAATAAGTTGCAAACTGGTTATTTGGAGTTTCAAAAAAAGTTGAAATTTAATTTATACCAGCAAAGGTGATAGGTGAAGGTTACACAACGGTTATCCGCCAAATAAGAAGATTCTGTTTAAAACGTAAATCTTAAATTTAAAAAGTACATTTTATATTTAATTCAAAATAGGTCATACTAAGGTAGAAAAGTCATAATTACAAACTAAAGATATTTTATTGATAGCCACCGCAAAACCTCCCTTTTATTTTATTACACAAACCCACATAAATTCTGTGTATAATTCAGTCTCTATAGCCTAGCATACTCTTACAACTACCAAACAATACGACTCCAAATTTAAACGATGTTTTCTTGATTGTAAAACCTCCCTTTAGGTGTATTTTACCTCGTATTCGACTCCGTATACATTTTGGCCTGGATTTTTTTTTTTTTTTTTTTTTTTTAAAGTAAAACCTGCTATTGTTTTTAGAAATAGTCCTGATTAACTAAAGATGATTGAAGCACAACCATTGTGTAACCTCCCACTTTTTTATTACATAAACTCATATAGATTATATTTTTTGTCTTGATGGCCTAGGCAAAGCCTACTCTAAACCTAGCATGGCATGGCTAAACTAAGTGTTCGTGGATAACCATTGTAAAAACTACCTTTTGATTTTTAACCCTAAAAGTACATATATAAATTCTGTATACATTTTTGTCCTTTTGTCAAGATAACCTAATCAAAGCATATTTCGAATTTTATTTTATTTATTTATTTTTTATGTTATTATGTAAAATTAAATGTATTTGATGGTTAACCATTGTAAATCCAGATAAACCTAGACATAACCTACTTTTAAAAATTCTAACCACTTAACGACTAGAGCTTTTAGAAAAGGGCTCAATTAATATACTTGATGTATTTGAAACAATTGTAAAGCCTATATGCCTTTTTTGAAGCTAATTAAACATATTGCATGGGTAACCACTCTGAAACCCGACTTTTAAAATATGTCTATGGGTTTTCTTGCCAGATTAACTTGCTGTGCAATTGACTGTGGGTAATGGATCGTTTAAAATTCTTGTCTTTTATCTCGTCTTTTTTTACATTGACTTAATCGAAGGTTTATATCTTTTTTTAGTTATTGTATATGTATATTTTTAGATATTGAAACTGGTCTTATGGATGTACCTGTTTTCTAGCGGGTTTTTTTAATCCTTTATAGATCTTTTGAAGGCTTTATATATTTTTTTTGTATTTTCTACTGGATCAACCTTGAATGAGTTCACCGTTCACCTTCTCGGCGATGTTTCGGATGGTAGGGATCCTTGGCAGGGTGCACTCACCTCACGTTTTCCCACCCCCTCCTCGAAGCTCAACATTCAACCGTACAATTCCCAGTCCGACCTTCTTCGGCACTGTTTTATGAACAACAGTTTCACACGTCAGCCGTTCGAAAAAGGGTGAAAATATACGTCTGGGTGGGTTGTCGTGACTTAAAAAGCACGGGGGAGGTTTTACGGTTACCCGCCAAGGACTTTACTCGTTACTTGTGTCCTTCTTCGAAAGCAATGGCTGTATTATATTTGGGGAAGGTGGGTTTCGTCTTTAAAAG